TTGCATTCTGCTTTTCTAGTACACTACCAGGGTTGAAAAACCGCTTCGCGGCTTTTCAACCCTGGACCCGTCTAGGACTTCTGAAAATTTTACTTTACATAGGGCTTGCCGAATGCCGCTCACCAAAAAAATCAAAAGCGCACGCTCCCTCCATTTTTATAGGCTACGGCCACTTCCGGTCAAGGCTAATTGCCTCCTAACGAAGAGGTTTTTCGACATATTTACAAAAACTTAATTTTAATAGCGAAAACAGCCGATTTTCTTCAATTTTATATGTGTGCACCCATCTCGGGACCATTACGCACCTAATGACGTATCATACGTACCTTAAAAACCTTCCCCTGAGGCTGTAGGTGCGGTACATACTTACGGAAGTTGCATGCAAATATACACACACACACAGACACTATTTTTTTATATATAGTAGGATTTTGGCGTTTTGTCCCCAGAAATCCAGAAATTCCGAACGACGTGGCCCCAACTTCCCCCCCAGACACCTATTCACCCCCATTTCGACAACAAAGCCAACACCCAGTCCAATTTCTATGCGCACTAATGAACTCCAAGTGGCCACTCGGCTCTGCCGGGGACCTTGGCACCCTGCCTAAAATCTCTTTTTGCACCTATGTCCACTAGTTCAATCCCATAAGGCTTCTCAATCCCCCCACGGCACCGGATTAGCTGCCGGATAAGCCTCGCCCGGGCCAAAAATCTGCGTTTGCAATTTGCCAACCCGTAAAAACTGTACGATGGTGCCCTTTTTTGCATCGGTGCTTGCATTGAGAAGAGCAAGCCTATCTCATGCCTATTCCTTAGCCAAGCCTAAGCCCAACCCTAAGCTAGCTTAAGCCGAAGCCGAAGTCGAAGTCTGCGCCGAAGATTAAGCCTAACACTAGGCCTAGACCCAGGACTAAGCTTAAGCCTAAGCCAAGCGAAGCCTGAGCCTAACCCTAAACCTATGCCTAAGTCTACAGGGTGGCCAGAAAAAAAAGTGCCTGGTTTGCACTGAAATATCTCGCTGGGGGAAACGAATTGAACCATCGTTACCTTGTCAGAATGCTTAAATATGCTGGGTATGAAGAATAAACACAAGTTGTTTTTTATGATTTTTGACGACCCCCTACTCGTTAAGAATTTTTGAACATTTTTGAAAAAATAGAAAACTTTGAAGAGGAAAATCATGGAACTTTTAATGAGTTAGGGGGACATGTAGGGTATCAAAATGAAGCTCTTGGAATGCGCTATCTAATCAGTGGTAAAGATTATCGATCGGTTTAACTAGCCGTCAATAGGAGCTTTCGGAAAATCGGCACTTTTTGAAGGAATAATTCGAGATAAAATTTCTTTACCATCCGATCTTGCTGATATTTTGCAGTTAGGAATAAATAGATACCTGCTAACTTTGTGCATCAAGATTGTCAAAATTCCGATCAAAAAAATTTTTGGCATTTCGCCAAGTCGACGCAATTTGTAATTTCAACGCTCCTATAGTTAAAATTATAACATGGTTATCTTTGGCAAGCAGGATTACATGTAACAAGTACAAAACCTTATGGCAACAATGGGCTTTTTGTGGTCAACTGGGAATCGCCCCTTCTGGAAAAGTGCCGATTTTCCGACCGCTCCTATTGACGGCTAGTTAAACCGATCGATAATCTTTACCACTGATTAGATAGCGCATTCCAAGAGCTTCATTTTGATACCCTACATGTCCCCCTAACTCATTAAAAGTTCCATGATTTTCCTCTTCAAAGTTTTCTATTTTTTCAAAAATGTTCAAAAATTCTTAACGAGTAGGGGGTCGTCAAAAATCATAAAAAACAACTTGTGTTATTTCTTCATACCCAGCATATTTAAGCATTCTGACAAGGTAACGATGGTTCAATTCGTTTCCCCCAGCGAGATATTTCAGTGCAAACCAGGCACTTTTTTTTCTGGCCACCCTGTAAGCATAAGCCCAAGCCTAAGCATTTAAAAATATGCCCCAAGTAAGGGTGCCTTGCCGAAATTCAGCATTGAACCCCTGGAGGAATCCCGGCACTGCCTGTTGATTTCCTAAATGTCCTCTGCTAGCCGGCCCTGAAATTTCAATTTTTGCTAAATGTCAAATCCTTTTGGAAACCTTTTTCGGCCATTTTTTAAGGCCACCCCTGAAGGGGCAACATTCCCTCCCTCCCCTCCGACTCTCAAAAGTCTCCTGTTTCATCCTCCTCCAGAATCTCTTAAGAGCCCCTCCTCCCCACCCTTCTCCCGCAACGCCGCTGCTGCCCCAAAAAATGAAATGCTCGATTTTGTAGTGTTTGCTAGGGGAGCACTGGCTAAACGCCAAATCCAGAGCCAAATCTCAAAGGCCGTCATTTCGTGCTAATTTTGTTTCTGTGCCAAAATAGTCGAAATCATGCAAATAAGCCCTAAACTCAATCCTAAGCCCAAGCCTAAACCAGCTCTTTTTCGGCAAAAATCTATCGGAAGGGGTGGACCGGATGTGCGGGGCTTCTGCCATTGACACCTCCCCCTCCTCCACCCCAATGTCCCATCGAATTTTCAGCCCGGATTCACCCCCCCCCCCGATTACGGCTTCATTGTTTTTCGCTTTGCTTCATTGGCTTCACTCCTTCATTCAAAATTTCTATGTTTTATGCCGATCCTAAGCAAAGCCTAGCCTAAGCCTAAGCCTAAGCCCAAGCCTAAGCCTAAGCCTAAGCCTAAGCCTAAGCCTAAGCCTAAGCCTAAGCCCAAGCCTAAGCCTAAGCGTAGCCTAACCCCAAGTATACGTGCGAAGTCTAAGCCCAAGCCCAAGCTTTGCCTTTGCCCTTGCTTATCCCTTGCTCCCCTCCAGCGTCAAGTGTTTTGGCCCCCCGCCGATGCCACGGTGCCAGTAAGAAGAAATTTGACGCACAGCAAGGCCCAGGCAGCAGCCGCCGACCGCCACAAAACGCGCATTTTCCCATCATCCCAAATGCATACCGCTTTCTCTCCTCGACCGCCACACACCGGGACTGCCAACGGATCGCGGCACGGAATCACGAAAGAAACGACAGGAGCGTGTGAGGGTGTGTGAAACGGGCACCACACACGAATCGCAATCTCGGACTCTCTCGCGCTCTCTAGCCTCTGGCTACTACTACGCTACGCGTCATTCCTTTGTACGGACGATAACTACGCGACGATACTGTAGGCAGTACTACGACTACACTGCGCTACTATAGACATTTACTGTAGAGCCCGATGGGCCATGCTCAACACCGTCTCCGAGTGGTTACGCCAAGTCAAGGTGCCATCTTTGGGTTTAAAGGGATCGGGTCGTTAGGGCGATTCACCTGGTTCCATGATTCTCTCTCTCACTCTCGCTCTGTCTCTCTCTCTCTCGCTCTCTCTCTCTCTATCTTTCTCTCGTTTAGCTATTAATATTTTTCGATTGAGTTCCCCGCATTTCGCCCAAAATATCCCATTCCAACCCGGTTAGTACTTTCCGATACACGAGACACCCTTTGTGCCCGGGCCATTTATTGGCACTTGGCCAAAATGGGCCCGATCCTCGTGTTGGAAAAGTTCATTTTTCGGTGCCGAATTCATTTTAAAGGGAGAGTGACATCTTGGCGCATTTAGGCTTAGGCTTGGGCTTAGGTTTAGGCTTAGGCGTAGACTTAGGCTTAGGCTTAGGCTATTTCATATCCCTAAACGCAATGAATACAGATTTTTATCCAAAAATTCAGGAAAATATGGTGGTTTTCCCCGCAAATTTCAACGTTTTTCGAAGTTTTGTAGATAATTTTCGATTTTAAATAGCTAAATTTTACCAACTTTTAAATACTTACAGTTTCTTGACTAGGGATTTATGGATTTCTAGGAAAAATGAGATGTGAGAACCGCAAAAAATCTATAGTCTAGCCTTGCTTGCCCCTTTAAATTATATTGCTGTTCCCCCGCCAGTCATGCTCATCCAAAGCCCATGCTCATCCCATCCATCGTTCCATATGCATTGTGTCTCACTCCAATTGTCCCTTCTTATGCTCAGTCCCCCGCTCACAAAAACGATTCCCACGTTTTTGGGCATCTTTTGTGAGCAAGAGACACAAGCCCGGGCCCCCCGGAAGTGTGGCCCATGCCTTTTCAGCTTTTCCCGCTACCACACTTCCGGTGTTCATAGCAAAACCCTCGGGCCTCGACGCGTATTTCAGGGCGTATTTTAGGACCAGAAGCTTGTTCCTCCTGTTTTTCTGGGCTTTCCTGGTCATTTAACGGGGCCGAGGAGGCGGAACTATGGATTTTTTGGCTGTGGATTCGCTTAAGATCTAGCCGCGCTCGTGACACGCAACGCACGCTACGAGGAATTCCATAGCGTAACGGGATAGGCATATTATCGGTCAGCTGATCGCAAATTAAACGTTCAAAAAAATCGTCCTTTCCAGTCCCTTGAACATTAGAAAAATCTATTTAAACAGTCGCCTCGTTTAAAAAAAGACCCCAAAACCACGCCCATCCCACGGTAATTACCAGACATGGCAATCGGCCGGGCCGCGCGGTTTTCGGCCGCAAATTAGAATGCGCCGGGCCGCGCGGCTGGCCGCACTTCCGCGGCCGCGGCTTTTTCCGTTTTGAGGCCGCACGGCGGCGCCGCGCGGCTTTTGAGGCCGCATCCAAATGAGTTTTGAGTACTTCCGGCACGTAAATCAGAGATGCAATGCGTATTTAGCCTGCTAGCGAGGAATATCCATACTCGACAACCTTAATTTTCTCATTTCCATTCCCATTTGGCATGAAATTCGCGGTTTTTCGACATGTAAATGAGCCACTTCCGGTTTGCGGCTTGGCCGCAGCGGCCCGGCCGAGCCGCGATGAAAATGCGGCTTGGCCGCGAAGCCGCATTTCCGGAAGTAACTAATTACGGCGGCTCGTAGGGGGCCGCGTTTTTTGGAAATTAGGCCGCCGGCCCGGCCGCGCGGCTCGGCCGATCGGAATTGCCATGTCTGGTAATTACCACCCAATTTCAGGACCTGATGTTCAACATCTTGCTCTCAATCGCCCGCGACGGGACCACCGAGAATAGCCCATCCACAGCGCTCGCCAACTCGGCATGTGGGTATTACGCGTAGGCTTAGGCCTATCTTCGGCTTTGCGATAACTAGCCCCACCAAAAACCTACTTTTCAGGGTCCCAACGCGAAAACCTCGTGCAATCCGTCTGCAAGCAACACCGAGCCCGGAATAAAATTTTGGAGCCGTATCGAAGGTGGGCGAGCTAGTAATGATTATACTAACCAAAAATCTGCTCACATCAGCAAGATACGAATCTAGCAACTGGCATCTGAAAACAAAAAAACCCAACCAAGAATTCAGGCTAAAAAACGCACTCAAAGCCCTGCAAGACGAGTACACACACTCGAAAGACACGAACGCCATCCAGCGGTACATCCGGCTACAGCACGCCGTGCGGGATGTGAGTCTTCCAAAGTTAGAGCAGAGAGACTAACATGGCTTCAGGTGGCCGTCCTGGAAAAGCAGTACTGGAAACTGCTCGAAATACCGCCGCAAGAAGGCGAAGATCCCGCCGAATATGTCGTAAAGTAAGCACTAAAAAATCCTAAAATAGCTCTAACTCAAAGAAACTCAAAACCGCATAATGCGCATCTAGCATTGAATAAACATGTGCAAAGGAGCGTTGTGTTTTCAAGTATCACTACGAGGAGCACCTTTCAGCGCACCTATATCGTGCGTTAACGCCATATTCTCGCTTAGGAATTAACAAAACAAAAAAATTAACAACAATCACTCTGGAAACTATTTTAGGGTCGTCACCTCGTTGGAGCAACAAAATGGAGCCCCAGCTCCGGCTAAAGGCGGAATCGGCGCCCTCCTCGGCTCAACCGTGCTCGCCCGAACCGGTGATGGCACCCAAGAAATCATGGAAAGGGTTCGGAGTAAGAAAAAAATTAAATTTCTATACCATCAATTACCCAGAAATGAAGACCGACGACCTGCAAAAAGAGTGCGAAGGGATGTACACCCAACTTTATCGACTTTTCAAGAAATATCTTGGGTTGAAGAGGTAGGAAAAGTCTAGATCAGTCTCGGTTAAAACAGCTAAATTAAAAACAGTTCCAAAGTCAAGCTAAATCGATAACTTTTAGAATCGTCAAAGAGCTCTCGGAACGGTACGACCACACCCGGCTATACCCAATCGTCCCCCGATATGCCATGCTAAAGAAAATGATCAAAACAGCGCTCCGGGCCCCCGAATTTGCCGATATTTGCCACGAACAAGTCGAATAAGACTAGCACTACCGTTTTTATGAATATTACCTCGTCAACCCACTTTCTCCGCCGATTAGTTGTTTTAAAAATTGCCCCATTACTTTATCCGGCTTTATAATATGTTTTTTTTGCCCCTTCAGAGATTCCGGTGCTGTTTTAGAGAGTTTGCAAGGAGCGATTACCATTGTTGATATGTTCTGACGGGCCGTTTTTTTATAAAGTATTTCGATAGATCATTGTCAAATGGCAATAACAAATTATACACATAAATACAAAAAATAAATACGGTTAAGTCCAGAATCTTTCAGCTTTCGAAATACTGGGGGCGTAAGTCGGATCAACTGTCTAACCTGGTGAGATTTTTAAAGGTGACAGAAAGTGCAAAAGGCTTTTCTTCCGGGAGGCGGGACTTGACAGCTACGCACCGCGCCTAATCACGCCAAAATCAAGTGAGCTTGATCGCATTTCTGCGCCAATAAGTAAATTTTATTTTTGCTTTTTTTTCTGATTTCGTGCCGTTATTTATTTGAATACACGACTTCCGGAAATCAATGAAAAGGTGAAAAATATTTCTTTGCCCCCTCATCCGAAAAAATCGTGCCTTTCCTCGCCCTGTAAGCTACTTTGTTACTTATAAGTACTTCCCCCTTCGCTTCCCATTCCCCTTTCGCAGTATCAGCTGTGATACCCAGTGGCCTATTTTCTCGCGACGCGTTTTTCTTCTGCTCTCTTCCTGCTTTCCTTCTCCGTGTCGCCTGCGGGGCCTTTTCTCATTTTTTGTTGCAGCCGCCGACAACAAGCGCCATGCTGAGCCGCCAAATCTTCGGTGCCCCCGTGCGATGCATGTCCAAGGCCAGTCACGCCGCCGCTTCTCCTGGAGGTATTACCGTTTTTGGTCTGAAAATGTATTTATTTTAGCGTTGACGCCGGGCCAGGTATTCGATCGGGAGGACAAGTACGGTTGCCACAACTACAAGCCGATCCCGGTGGCGCTTGCGCGTGGCAAAGGTTTGCGTACAAGGGATTATTGTTAGACGTCTTCGATGTAGTTTTGCTGTGTTATGTAGCTCATTCAATAGAGCTTCAAATTGCAACAGTTTTTTTTGCAAAAATTCGGCTTTGTTCAGAATTTCAAGCAATATATGATACCCTTGTCACATAACAAGACTTCAAATTCACCTAAAAACGGCTCCTTGACCCATACGTTACCTAAGAGTTATTCTAGACGTTTTACGTCTTACTATCGTAATATTTTGGCCTTTTTTCCAGGAGTTCACGTCTGGGATGTCGAAGGCCGACAATATTTCGACTTCCTCTCCGCCTACTCGGCCGTCAACCAGGGCCATTGCCATCCCAAGCTCGTCGAGGTGAAATTCACCTTTGCCCTTTCATCAGATTTAGGTGATGCGCAAGCAATCGGAAATCCTGACGCTTACCTCGCGCGCGTTCTATAACGATGCGCTCGGCGAGTATGAGGAATACATCACGAAGCTCTTCAAGTACGACAAGGTGCTGCCGATGAATTCAGGTGCCGCTGTTGTCTTCTAACCCAACTTCATTTTATGTAGGAGTCGAGGCGTGCGATTCGGCTGTGAAGCTGGCCCGGCGCTGGGCCTACGATGTGAAGGGAGTGCCGAATAATAAAGCCAAGGTTCTTTCGTCCCTAATTTCACAACTTTCTAGGTGATCTTTGCTCGCGACAACTTTTGGGGGCGATCCATTGCCGCCATCTCCGCCTCGAATGATCCCGACTCGTACGCCGGTTTTGGGCCCTACGTGCTGGGCTTTGACAGCGTCCCGTACAACGACATTGCATCTCTGGAGGTTTATTTCGGGGCTATGGCGATATTTCCTCGTTTAGAAAGCTGTCTCTGACCCGAATTGTGCTGCCTTTATGGTCGAGCCGATCCAGGGAGAGGCCGGCGTTGTGATTCCTAATGCTGGTTACTTGAAGGTGATTTTTCCCTCTGAAAACTGGCAACTCTTCAAATAGAAAGCCGCCGAGGTCTGCAAGAAGCACAACGTGCTGTTCATCACCGATGAGGTCCAGACGGGACTTGGCCGAACCGGAAAGTAGGGTTTCTTCCCCGGCGAGTCAAGCTGTTTTTAGGATGATGGCCCACTACCATGACGGGGTCCGCCCCGATATTGTCATTCTCGGCAAGGCACTGTCGGGTGGAATGTACCCGGTTGGTTCTAGCCCTTGCTTTCCAACCCTGTTCTTAGGTATCTGCCGTGTTGTGCGACGACTCGATCATGCTGAACATCAAGCCCGGGCAGCACGGCTCGACATATGGTGGAAATCCGTTGGCCGCGAAGCTCGGGAAGGCTGCCTTGGAGGTAACTATGACAAAGCTCTTGTTCGACGAGGTTGATTTCTAGGTACTGATCGAGGAGCGCCTTTGCGAGAACTCGGAGGCAATGGGTGCGCTCCTTCTGGAGCGGCTGAAGAATCTCCCCAGCCACGTGGTCACTGGGGCACGCGGCAAAGGCCTCCTCTGTGCCATCATCATTGACAAGAGTACGCCTAGCGTTTTACCAACAAATATTCTGTTTTAGAATACGATGCTTGGGATGTGTGTCTGCGCCTCAAAGACAACGGACTCTTGGCCAAGGTAGCTCGACGGAGCGTGTTTCCACATTTTTCCAGAATACACACGGTGACATCATCCGCTTCGCCCCTCCGCTCGTCATCAACAAGGCCCAGGTCGATGAAGCCGCCTCCATCATCGAGAAGACGATCAACCAATTGGCCAAGTGAAGAAACCCTGAAAACCCACCGTTTGTAATGTGTACATTAATGTCTTGCTGCTAGCCCATTTTTTGTGTGATTGTACTAAATCGTTTATGATTGTGGCACGTGAATAAATCAGATTTTGTGATGATATTTTTCCGGACCGCGATCGTTACAGCTGCAACAATATGATTTTGAATGGTGTAGTAGCTTTGAACGGGTGAATCGAAGGCGATGCTTTGTAAAAGCGCTTTGTGCCCTCAAAGCAGTGACGGCTCATTTTAGATGCTTGAAAAGCCCGGCCGACATTTGGGTTTTCAGCTGCCGAGGCTCAGAAAGTTATCGTGGCTATTTTTAAAGGGATGGTGCCAGCCTTGATAGCGATTATCGTTCTTCGTTGTTCACCCCAAAAAAAAAAGACTTCCTTTCCTCTCTTACCCCCAATTATCCAGTTGTGCCTTCTTTGTAGGGTCAGCCATTTCTTCCTTATCATTCCCGATCCCCCCCTCGCTTGTTTTTCCTCCCCCATTTCCTTGACTACCAATATCGCAAAGTTATTTCAGCTGTCTCCCGCCAGCCGTCACAATCAAAATGCCGTGTTGCGCCGGCTCGGGGCCCGGATATGCCAGCCCAAAAGAAGCGATAAAGGTATGGCCTTTCCTCAAAAATACTATTTCTTTTAGGGCCCGAGAGAGAAAGTCCTGTTTGTCACTTGTCCACATGTAGATGAAACCAAGCCCGATGCCCTTTGCGCCGTCGATGTCGACCCGGAAAGCGCAACGTATAGCCAGGTAGTTTTTGCAATCTTTTAGTACGGATTTTAAGGTAGTCTCGAAGCTAGCCTTTCCAAATGCCGGTGATGAAGTGCACCACATGGGCTGGAATGCATGCTCTTCATGTCACGGGGATTCGTCAGCAAAGAGGTATAGAATCTGCTTGAAGCATGCGGATTCGACAATTTAGAACCCACCTCGTCCTACCATGCTTGGGTTCAGACCGCATCTACATCGTGGATGTTGCCGATCCAAGGGCGATGAAGCTGGAGAAGGTCAGCATCATTTGAGGGTTTATTTACTTTATTTTTTTCAGTCAATCGAACCTAAAAAGCTGCACGACTTGGGCGTCTCGTTCCCGCATACGTCGCACTGCCTGGCCAACGGGAAAATTATGGTATCGACACTGGGCGATAAAGACGGCGGAAATAGAGGTAACTATAGTGAAAAGGAAACATTCGACGGATCTTAGGGAACTTCCTGTTGCTGGATGGTCAAAGCTTTGAGCCGACGGGCAACTGGATCGAAGCCGATGGCGACGTGGCTTTCAATTATGATTTTTGGTATGAATTATGCGAAAATCTTTTATATAATTTTGTTTCAGGTACCAACCCCGGCATAATGTGATGATGTCTACCGAATGGGGCGTACCGCGGTTAATCAAGGAAGGATTTAACCCAGCTCACGTGCAACAGGGTAGGATGCTTCTAAATTTCGAATTCTTAACGATTTTAGGCAACTACGGTCACAGTGTGCACATTTTCGATTGGACCACGCGGGAGAAGCGGCAAACAATTGAACTCCCTATGCCTGAAGGTGCAATCCCCCTGGAGGTCAGTATTTTTTTCTAGAATTGTTAGTAGAAAATTAGATCCGCTTCCACCACGAGCCGGAGAGCCAACATTGCTTTGTCGGAGCTGCCCTAGGATCATCCATTTTTCACATTCGACCCGACAATGAGGTTTGGCCATTCGATCCGAAAAACTGCTGATTTGAGAATCCTGAGAAATACGCGGCTGACTGTGTGATCAAGGTAGAGCCACTCGAGGTCGATGGCTGGGCCCTACCAATGATGCCCTCCCTGATCACTGATATCCTCATCAGCATGGATGATCGGTAACTTTCTTCACATGGCCTTTAGTTGCATTCTAGTTTCCTCTACTTTTCTAATTGGCTACACGGAGATTTGCGTCAGTATGACATCTCCGATCCTGAGCACCCGAAATTGACTGGCCAGGTGAGGAGATTTTTGGGTTGAGGCACTTTTTCCGTTGTGTTTTTTGTGCAACGGGCAAGACTTACCAATTTTTTTCCAGCTCTGGCTTGGCGGGAGCCTTCACAGCGACACCGGCGTCACGGTGAAAGATGCGAGCTTTGTAGGTTTTGGTGCCTATTTTATGAAATTCACTTTTAGAAGCAGCCCGAGCCCCTGTTTTTGAAGGGAACAAGGATCGCAGGCGCTCCACAAATGCTGCAGCTGAGCCTTGACGGGAAACGGCTCTATGTCACCATGTCTCTATACAGGTCGGTCTTTTGTATGCTCTAAATTAATTTTACAAATTAGGCCCTGGGATCGTCAATTCTACCCGAAACTGCTAGAAACCGGTGCCGCGATGCTCCAGATCGACGTCGATGTCGAGAAGGGCGGAATGAAGCTGAACAACGATTTTCTGGTCAATTTCGGAGAGGTTGGTTTTTCAGGTTTTTTTATGGTGTAATCTTCAATTTCCTACAATTCATCGTGAATTTTAGGTAGAAGGTGGTCCATACGTGGCTCACGAGATGCGCTACCCGGGCGGCGATTGCACTTCCGATATCTGGCTTTGAACTGTGAATCTGTCTTTGAGTGTACCGTTTTTTTTTATTTGCTGTGCCATTTTTAATAAGGATTATAGAGATTCTAATCTTGTTAATTTGATGTTCCCACTTCAGTGCGTTCGAGTACCACATTGTGATTTTGGCAAAATTGTAATAAAGTTCTAATTCATGCAAACATCTCCGCATAAGAACAAAAATTAATGAGCGAAATTCTTTGCCTTTTCACCGATTTCACCTTTTCAGGCACAAACGCAAAAAGCAAGAATTTTTACAATGTATAGGACAAACAGGAGCAGCAAAGCCAGGCATGCAGCCAAAACATATCGAAAATAAAGGCTAGGAATATGGCGACGACGTATCTAAAAGACGTACTCGTCCGTAGCCTAGCCCGTCTTCCCCTCTCATGCGCGTTTTTCTTAAAGGCTGAACCGCCGTGCCCTGAAGTGAGCTCGAATGCTGAAATCGTAAGAACTGCTATATTGGACCTGAACTTCTTTAGATCGACTCGATAAAGCTACTCGAAGCACGCATCAACAACCTGAAGTTGGACCTCAAGAAGCGCTCTAACGAGGATGCCGCCATCAACATCCTCAAATCGGCCAACTTGAGCGACGATCAGCCGCAAGTGCAAGAGCCAACGCCATCGGGAAATTCCACGACTCAACCGCAGACTGCCCAGTTGATATGCAGCTACCTTCCCAACTACTTGAGGATTCAGCGCATCTGCTCGATCTCGATTTGTCCTTCCGATTTCTTGCTTTCTTTTTAGAAATCTAAACCGTTCATTGTGAATAAAGTTTACGAAATTGCCTAAGCATTCTTATCGAAAATGCACGTATGCAGTCGACAAAAATGAAAAAAAGAGATTAGAATTTTCTACGAAGAATTGCGCATCATTTGAGACCAAGATACCAAAAATAAATTCTGGTACTATTTTGTGATTAGGCTTTGAAGTTTTTCCCCCTAGTTTCGCTCAAAATACATCATGAATTTATCACTTTGAATCCACTACTACATAAGAATCTTGATTTTGCCTTGGCGAGGCGCTGGCTTCGCAAAACGGCAAAAGCTTTCAACTCGATGCCGGCGTCCGGCCCGCGGTACCAGGTAAGCTTGGACTCGCTTTCAAAACTTCATTTGCAGGTCGACTTGAAGCTGCACGTCGACGGCTTCGAGACGGTGCCCGATCGGAAGGACAACGGCAACCTCGCAAAAACTAGGTGAGTTCTAGGAGTTGAAAAATTTTGGATTTTAGTTTGCTCGACTCGACGACGTGGCGTCAGTGTGCTGGGGCTGATCTGAAGAGCACGACACAGATGGGTACGCTTGAAATAAATTTGGAACTTTACAGCAGTATCGAAAAAAACCTCGCACTCCTTTTTCAGAGGGCCCATCAAAGAAGAAGAGCCAGAACGACGCGGACAAGGACGACGAGCCGGGCAACATTTCTTCGGAGGCCGATGTCACCGGACGCCTTATTCAGACGAAGAAGGGCAGTGCTGAGGTAGTTTTTTCACCTTGAACTGCCTAATTGACCCTCTTCAACTCGTTGTCTTAGGAAACGGATGAAACGGGCTCGCCGGGCGAGGTCAGCGACTCGCCGATGAGTTCCGAGCGTGCCGAGAATATGCGCCATCGTGTTGCCCGCCTGCTCCGCCACAGTACGCGCAACCCGTCCCGTCATCCCAGCCATGTCGAGGCGCAGCGTGGCGCTTCGACTGCCCCTGCTCCGCCGGCTCCTGCTGCTCAGACTTCGGCCTCGTCAACTTCGGTGGGTGCATCGAGCGTCTAGTTCTGCGCTTTTTTAATCCCTGTTGAAAGCGGCAATTTAGTATTTTTCAGAATGCCCCCCTCCTGGCCTCTCAATCCTTTGGCAACCTCTACGAAACGAGCAGCCCGAGGCACTCGCGCGAAAACATTTCTCAAGGGTCGGTTCCACGACGTTTTCCGAATACTTCGAAAAGTCCAGGTCCTGCTACACGACGTGCAACTGCGAGCGACTCGACGCGGCCGTGCTGGGCAGCTACGTGACGCGCTCCATCGAGGAATACTCGGGCCAGTCAGGTAGGCCCGCAACCTTTTCGCACTTACTTCCTACTCAACTTTAGCCCCCGACGCGCTGCGCCAGCGCAGGAAGCACTCCATCTCGCCCTCCATCCTCGACATCATCGCCAACACGATGGCGGCTTCTCCGGCCTCGGCGGCTGCGTCTACTTCATCGACTTCCACGCAGAGCCTCGTCCAGCCAGTTCAGCAGTCGCAGCCGCCGCCGGTGCAGCTGGTGGCTGCTCGTTCTTCGGCCAGCCAGACGGCCACTAAGCCGGTGCAGGTAGGCATTTTGATTCATCTGCTGATTTTGATGGTGCTTCCGGTGAAATTAGCTATAATTCAAACAAAAAACTCGCTAAAAATAAAAAAAATACGGATTTTTGTTCCAAATTGGTGATTTTTGTCGTCGCAAAAGGATTTTTCGTATTAATAAAAATTGTGTAAAGTTTTTGGCTTTAATCCTAGTAAGATCGGTTAAGTAATTTTTGTTTAGTTTTTACTTTGCAAAAATCGGTTAAGATGCTTAAGCAAAAGTTCGTACTCCTGATCCCCCCGATAATGCAAAAGGACCGGTTTGATTTAGAAGCCGTCGAGCCCTGTGCGTTCTCCGAAGCGTATCGTTGCCCCGCCAGTCGAGCCCCCGCAGCCTGCTCCGGTCAGGACCGTCTCCCCTGCGCCGGTGAGCGACTCCGTGAAAGGTGGGAGGCTTTGTCAGACACCATCATCTATAGTTTTCAGTCGTCAGTGCTCCGCAGAACGTGTACAACCCGCCGGCCGGCTTCCAGCAGCAGCAGCCGCCCCAGCAGCAGCAGCTTCAACAGCTTCCGCAGCATCCCCTCCCCATCTGCAACGGCGTCATGAACAACGCCCCGACTTGCTGTATGATGGTAAAGCCAACGTCAAGTCATTTTCAAAAATACTGCTCCTTCCAGCGTGCCCAGCAGCAGCAGCAGCCGATGATGATGGGCCCTCCGCCGATCTGCTACCCCTACCCGGACGCCAACTACTCCATGTCGTCGCCTGGCATTTGGATGACCGGCTTTGAGGTCTTTTTTTCTGCTTTGCATGGCACAGTAATCAGTCGCAGACGTAATTTTTGGAAGTTTCATCGATTTAAAACGACTTAAAATCCCTAAAAAGCCGTCCCAGAAAATAAAAATGTCTGTTTTCCGGCCAAAAAGGATTTTTCTCGATTGTCATGCTATTTTGCATAGGCTTTTACTTAATTTTCTAACTTAAACGCCCCTGAATCGGTTTCAGGAGATAAAAATTAGATTTTTCGATATTGAATGGCTGATGTCGACATTTTGGAGGCCTGCAATACTCGATTTCTAGTGTTTCAAAGGCTATTTTTCCGTTTAAAAGACTCACACCTACTAAGAGTCATTCTCTACCTTCAAAATGGAGGTATCCCTAAGCTACGACTTCAGATTCGCTGCTGGATGATGTTGTTCGGCTTCCTGTTGGCCATCTACCTGTACCGCATGGGTCTGTCGGATCCCCGTGTCTGCCCGCCCACTCGCTGAACACCCCCACCAGCCCATCGCCCCCCAACAACCCGTTAATAACTGTGTATTTATCCACAAAAAAGGTTCCGTATTCCTTCGTGTCTCTGTGTCTCTTGCCCCCGCCTCGCGCTCTCACTCGCACCCCTCACTCGTCGCTTCGCTGTACCGATTTTTTGGAGATCGAATAAAGATGGAATGTTTACCGGAAGTGCATATGCTCTGGCAAAAAAGATAGTGCCCCAGCTGGCGCTTTTGCATTATCGGTGGGGGATGCATAATTTTCCCTTGGGAAGTGCCTGTTCTAATCTGAATTGAGAACGGGTTACGCACTGTTTTCTTTACGATTCCTAAACGTAAAAACTGACAAATTTGGGTCAGAAAAGGCAGAAAAAACGTGCGAAATTTTCTAGATGTTGTTTTGCCGCTAAAGTATAGGCAAAAACTTTTCTAAGATTTTTTGTATAGCTCGAAAAGTAAAAAACCCAAATCCTCAAAAATCAAATCTGGCATTCCTAAAAAATTTTGCTAATTATCACTACGTTTAGAATACGCTCCGCGATATGTTGATTGCCCTCGTTAGCAGGCGGGTTGTCAACGATACGACACGATACGGTCTGATGATTTGTGAGGGATTACACGGTGTCTTCTGTTGTCTTTTAGCATTACCGTCCACTGCCCCCCCGACCGCCCCAAACCCTACTAACGACCGGCTAGACAAGCAAAGTGTTTCCTTTGAACATTTATTGTATTACCAGGGTTGAAAAACCGCTTCGCGGCTTTTCAACCCTGGCCCCGTCTAGGATCGATGAAGTTATTGACTTTGCATAATCCTTGCCAAAAACCGCTCACCAAAAAATGAAAAGCGCGCCCTCCCTTCCTTTTTATAAACCATTTCCACTTCCGGCGTATGCTAATTTTTCCCTAACAAAGAGGGAAGCCAAGAATTTTATAAAAACTTAATTTTAATAGCGAAAATAGCAATTTTTCAAAGATTTTATGTGTGTGCAGTCGATTCCCGCCCCTTCTTTACCCTATAACGTTTCTTCCCTCCCGAAAAAATCCTTCCCTGAGGCTGTAGGTGCGGAACATCCAAACGGAAGTGCATGCAAATATACACACACACACAAACACTATTTTTTTATATATAGTAGGATAGTAGGATTTATTCGATTTTTAGAGTTGCGACAGTGTTAAAAAATCAAAAATTTGTGGCTTATTTTCCTAGGTCTCATTTCCTGTTCCGGTTCTGGTTTTTTTCTAGAAGAAGGCTGTTATTTGTAAAAAAATGTTAACAATGGTTTTAAGGCTTAAATCCCGACAGCCAGAATACCGACAGCCGAAACCCCGAGATCCAAAATCCCGACAACCAATAATCCCGACAACCCATGATCCCGACAAGTCAAAACCCGACGCAAAATTTAAACGGCTAAAAATCCTCACAAGCCATAATCCCGAAAGCCAAAATCCCGACATCATAATCCCGACAACCCATAATACCGACAGCCAAGATCCCGCGAGGTCAGAATCTCGACAAGACGGAATCCCGAATGATTTTGAATGTCAGATGTTGGGCTGTCGGGATTTTCCCCGGATCGGTATTTTACCCTCTGTTCCTCGAAAAAAATTCAAAGAAAAAAACTTGAGATGACTCCGGAAGCTGCTAGCACGGGTTTTTGTGTCGCCAAACCTCGAATCGGCATCGAATTGCCCCGGAATGTCGAGTACTTCCCAGTGAACGTGCAAGCAGTAGCACTGTGTAGTGGAGGACCCTATCGGAATTGTCGTGTCAACACAGTATATTCACTCGCTCTCTCACTCTCTCTCTCTCTCTCTCTCTCTCTACCTCCGTCCCTCTCTCTCTCGCTTTCTATCTGTCTCTCTCAAGAAATCGTTGGTTGGGGGAGGGGGGAAGAGCCATGTTGAGATTTTGAGAGGACAACCAGCCACAGTCAGTCAGTCCTCAACAATCCTATTCACACAAGCCCCCAAATCCGTTTCCCGGACTGTACGCACTTTCCAATAAACGCCGGTTTAAATTTTAAGCTTTAAAACCACCTTAAATAATTTTGGGCTGTTTGGGTTGGGCTGTGCTGTCGTATGAGCTTCTTGGTCAGCTTCTGGAAAGCTCCCGAGCGATTACCAGAAACTGGAAATATCCCAAATTTCGGGCTGATGAAGAATTGACTGAAAGACTGACTGAAAAGCCTAGTAAATCGACGCCTGCCGCCCGCAAGGTCTCGAAAGCTACGAAAGGTTCTACGTTACGCTCAGGCTTCATTTAGGCTTAGGCTTAGGCTAACGATGGCAAACAGAATTTCCTTTTCTGCTTCTTACCCTACCCTCCGTCTTTGTTTTAATGAATACTTCATATGGCCTCTTGATGGGCGCTAACGACCGAGCTAATGGAACGGGTGAGGTGGGGGTAGGGATTTCGAAGGTCTATTTCTTCGATTTCATCGTGTGCTTTGTCCCTTTTTAGTTAAGATTACAATAAACATGCGTAAAAACTACAAACTACTATTTAAAAAAATATATTTCTGCCAAAATTCGAATTTTCGCTGCAATTTCAAATTTTTAGGCGGTATTCTAGGTCTAGGGCAAAAAATCGGAGGTGGCGATTTACCTGACGACTTCAACTTCACCCAAAAAATTCCAACCACCAGAACCACAGCTAGCATTTGCTAAAAATTTCGCCAAAAACCATGCAAAAAGAGGCAGAAGCTACTAGGTGGGGTGTTGCCTTCTTTTTCTATTTGACCAACCCCTGCCCGTTACAGTATTTGTCGAGAAGTGCTCGAACAAGCATCAGCTTCTCCCCTTCTTGCTTCCTGTCTTTCCCAGGGCCCTCCAATACCACTCAATACCTGCGTTTTCAAGTGACGTTTTTGGTAATCTGCATTAAATTTGTTTTTTAAAAGCTTTTTTTCGGTGGGAACCTATACATATTTTTAAATTTATCTAA